CGGCTCTGATCGCCGTCCACCTGGTCCAGGCAATCAGTTCCCCTTTCCATTTGGTCGTGAACGAATGCAGGGTGCGACAGGACCCAACACTCAGCCTAACATGCCCCCTCAGATGATGCAGCCAGGCCCTGAGGGTCCTCAGGGAGGTATGTGGCAGGGGCCACGAGACATGAACTATCAGAACTACCCCAACCGGCAGGGTGGCCCTGGGGGCCCACCACAGGGACCTGGTTACCCTGGCATGAACCGCTCAGAGGAGATGATGTCATCAGAACAGCGCATGAATCATGATGGCCAGTGGGGGAGTCAGATGGGCCCACGGCAGCCTCCTTATGGTCCAGCAGGACCTGGCCAACCTATGCCTCGTTCAGTACAGTCAAACTACCAGCCCCCTCAGGGTGTGCAGAACCACATTCCACAGGTGTCCAGCCCAGCCTCCATGCCCCGCCCCATGGAGAGCAGGACATCACCTAGTAAATCTTCCTTTATTCACGGAGTAATGAAGATGCAGAAGGCCGGCCCTCCAGTGCCTGCATCTCACATAGTGCCCCCTCCGGTGCAGTCGCCTTTGATAAGGCGAGACATGCCTTTTCCCCCAGGCTCGATAGAAGCTTCACATCCTATCCTGAAACCACGTCGGAGACTCACCGTAAAAGATATTGGTATGACTATAGATTGAATATCATCTTGTGACATAGACTTTCTTTATTATTGCCAGACCTGCTCAGTGTTGCTCAGTCCACCTATATTGTTCCAAGTTGCTGCTTAGAGAGTATTTGGTACCAATTATGTTTTTTTATTTTGACTTCTTAGGAACTCCGGAGGCATGGAGAGTCATGATGTCATTAAAGTCTGGTTTATTGGCTGAGAGTACGTGGGCCTTAGATACCATCAACATCCTCCTGTATGATGACAACAGTATTTCCACCTTTGATCTAAACACGGTGAGACTTAACACTGATCCCTTAATGATAGTTTATAACACACTGTGCATAGTTATCATATCTAACATGTTCTGTATTTATGGTCTTTCTTCAGTTGCCTGGCCTACTAGAGTTGGTGGTTGAGTATTTCAGACGCTGCCTCATTGAAATCTTTGGCATTCTGCGGGAGTATGAGGTGGGAGACCCTGGCCAGAGGACACTACTTGATCCTGATGCCTTGAAACGAGACTGGGAAAGCACAGAAGAAGAGGAAACACAGGCTGAGGACATGGAACAAGAGGAGGAAGATGACGAAGAAGAGGAGGAACGGGAAACGGAGGGGCCAGCTCATGTGAAAGAGGAGGAAGAGCAAGAGCAGTGCTCTGAGTCTCGGGGTCGGGATGAGAAGACAGAAGATGAGGAGAGGAAGAGCAAAGGTTCTTCATCTGAACAGACAGGCTCATCACAATCCTTAGCTGCCCACGAGAGACCCAAACAAGCCAGCAAGTTTGACAAGTTTCCCCTAAAAGTGGTACGAAAGAAAGACCCATTTGTGGCAGGCCAGTCCAATAATCACGGTAAAATGCAAGAGTTTGACAGCGGGTTGATTCATTGGAGTGCTGGAGGGGGAGACTCAACAGAACACATCCAGACTCACTTTGAACCACGCAAAGACTTCTTGGAACCACGAGAACGAATACCTGTGCCCCCAATTTTGCTGCGGCGACGAGTCCCAGAAGAAGAGATACAGGAAAATTGTTTGCCCACTGAGGAAGAGAAAAGGAAGCATCAGGATGAAGAAGAAAGGCCCAAAGAGACTTCTTCCTCAGAGAAAGCAGCGGTCTCAGAGAAGGCCAGCCCCTCACTCAGCAGTGAGGAGGAGAGGAAAACTGATTCTGAGACAAAGACAGTTGAGAAAGGTGAAAAAAGTCCCCAGGAGAATAATAGACCCATTATTTCCCCCGACAGTGTTCTACTCCAGAAGGCAAAGCAGACTGGCACCATCCTGGAGGATGAGCCCCACAGTAAAGACGAGGGGCCGCTCATTGCACTGGCTAACTGGCAGGATTCTTTAGCCCGCCGCTGCATATGTGTGTCCAATATTGTCCGCAGCCTCTCCTTTGTGCCAGGCAATGACCACGAGATGTCCAAACATCCAGGGCTGCTACTGCTGCTGGGACGCCTGATCCTGCTTCACCACAGGCACCCTGAGCGCAAACAGGCGCCGCTAACCTACGAGAAAGATGAGGATTCAGAAGAGGGAATGGGCCAAAGGGATGAATGGTGGTGGGACTGCTTGGGGCTCCTGAGGGAGAACACGCTGGTCACTTTGGCAAACATCTCAGGCCAACTGGATCTCTCCATATACCCGGAGAGCATCTGCTTGCCTCTGTTGGATGGTCTTCTCCACTGGGCCGTCTGCCCCTCAGCAGAGGCCCAGGACCCCTTCCCCACCCTGGGTCCTCACAGTGCGTTGTCACCTCAGAGACTGGTCCTGGAGACGCTAAGCAAACTAAGCATCCAAGACAACAACGTGGACCTCATCTTGGCCACTCCTCCATTCAGTCGGTTGGAGAAGCTATACGGGAACCTGGTGCGGCTAATCGGAGACAGGAAGATTGCAGTCTGCAGGGAGATGGCCGTGGTCCTACTGGCAAACCTCGCCCAGGGCGATACTATGGCCGCCCGAGCAGTCGCTGTTCAGAAAGGCAGTGTGGGCAACTTGCTGGGCTTCCTGGAGGATAGTCTGGCTGCCACACAGCTTCAGCAGAGCCAAAGCTCTCTACTACACCTTCAGGGGATGCACTTCGAGCCCACTAGCCCGGACATGATGCGGCGAGCTGCCCGGGCTCTGCACGCCTTAGCCAAGGTGGAGGAGAACCACTCAGAGTTCACACTACATGAGTCCCGACTCCTCGACCTTTCAGTGTCCCCCCTAATGAACTCGCTGGTTTCTCATGTTATCTGTGATGTACTCTTTTTGATTGGCCAGTCATGACAGCTGTAGGGAGCCGTGGCTCCACTTTTTTGGGGGTTTTATCCCCAATCCCCTCTTACCTGGAAGCCTGGCTTGTGTGTGTAACAGGGCAAGCAAAGTTGAAGTGACTGTCTTTAATTTATGAAAATCCTTCAGATTCCATTCTCTGAACCCTCCCCAGGTCGTCCTTGCTGGAGGAGGGTTATCACAGAGCTGTGGTGGATTACAAACCAGAGAGATGCCCACAAAGTGACACTACTTGCAACATGAATGCCAACTGGATGACACAGAGCAGAGCACCACGGTTGGGAGACTGTTCTGCACTTGGGGGAAAGTACTTTTTATTAAAGATAAATAAATGAATAAATAAATAGCTGAAAAACAAAAACTGTAACCAAAGTTGCTGTCTCGTTTACAGTGAGTTTGGGAGACACAGTGTGCCCTAGCTCTCCCCTCGAGGGCACAATGAGTCTGTAAGTGGTTGACGTTCAGAGGTGAAGCAGACTGACAAGTGGCCTACTGGTTATAGTTGCTGTAGTTGGATTTTCACCAGTCAGCCCAACAGTAGACTAAGTGCTGTCAATAGACACCTTCACCGGGGAGGCCTGTGCAGTGTGCAGTAGATTGTAGGACATTTTCTGTACCGTACTGCTCTTGAGTGTAAGCATTCTGTAACACACGTTTCACACAGAAGCAGAAGATGCAGCTCTTCTAGAGTTTTGAGGTCATTTTAGTTTGGTGTTAAACAGAAAATGGCTTTCTTCCCCAAAGTATCAAGAACCTACAACACCCTTACCTCCTCTTATCCCTTGATTGTATGAATACCCATATGAAAAGAAATCACCTCTTAGGACTGGTTTTCAACTTCAAATACAGCTTTGCTGTGGTGTATATATAATGTTGTACATTACACTTCCTTTCTCTGTGTCTGTCTCTGTCTGTGTCACTATTCTCACACTTGTTATCGGTGGGGGATTGAGGCTGACATGTGAGTTTGGTCCGTGACCTCCAGTCCCCGCTGATTAGACCCACTCCTCTGGTCTCTCCACAGCTCCGTAGTACGGCAGACACGGCTCGAACCTGTTATCTCCTGGTACAACAAAAATAAACTAGATGAAGTACACATTTGACAATTTTTCTTCAGTCATGGATTCTGCATATTTGTATTTCAGACTATGTAGCTAAGACAACATGTAAATTCCTCCCTTTCCCTTTTTTGGCTCAATGAATATCATTTATTCAGTATGAAATCTTTATACTATATGTTCCACGTGGTAAGAATAAATGTACATTAAATCTTCGTAAGCTGTTTGATGGTTTTGTTCTTCTGGAATAATCACCTCTACTGGACAAACAAATCAAACAAATATGTGAATTCCCACAAATTAGGTTCCAAAGAATTTCTGAAATACATACTCAGTGTCTTACTCAGTGGACTCAATGCTGATATATAATTCACTGTTTGCATTAGGTTTATCACAGTTTCTATGTTTGAGTAAAATAACTGAAAAAAAACTACCTCCGTCAGTGTCACTAACTTCACAGGCTTGAAGTTTGAAGGAGGAGGACTGCACATAGGCTTGAAGTTTGTATTAATGCTGTATCAATAGGGCCAACCAGAAATAATGGGTAAAAGAACAGTTCATGCACATTTAAAATGCATCAGGCAAAGACAATCACACATATCAGCTTACTTACAAAGCCAAGTGTAACAATATGCACCTTAAATCCAAGCAAGTTACATTTTATATATAACAGACTGAAGACACTAAATATGGGCAAAAACAGTATTTTCACATTTCCTGAACGAAGAATAACCGCATACCGGAAAGGTCAGTCCATAAGCCGGAGTGGAGCGCCTCCTGCTGGAGAGAAAACTCATTTCACCCGATTTAACATAAAACCTTACTTACTAAGCACACGTAAGGTTGTAAATCTTAAGCCAATTAAAGCTAAACTATAAATCTTTTGATACATAAATAAAATAAAATACAACCATCGCAGGAGAAACTACAAGTTCTCCTCTGAACCAGTCAATGATCTGAGCCCATGAGCTTTTATTTTGACATTCGTGTTGCGGTGACACTGGAAGTGAAAAGTGCCTTTGGAAAGGCTGCCGCAGGAGGAGGATGAGAGGAGGACAAAGATTGCACCTGAGCGGAAACAAACGCTGCTAGAAGACGGCTGGCTATCTCCCACTAACCTGTTTACCCTCTGCTAAACCTATCAACCCAATGAAAACCCGCAGCTCACAAGCCCTCCTTCGCCGAACACTTTTTTCCTAGCCAGCTATGTTTGGTAGAGAAAATGACGGATCCAGCGGTGACTGTGTGGTAGCAGCGACAATGCTCGGGCCTGTCATCACCGGCTTGTTCACATTTTGTCCGTCGCATCAATGACCATGGATGTCAGAGCAGTGCTGGAGTTTGCCACAGTTACCAGGGCTCTGTCGCTGTTCCTGCAGGTAAAGGTTTAAGTTAGGCAAGTCCGGCATGTTGTGGATCTGAACAATATGCTAAACTACCCCCCTCCCCCCCAAGTTTGTAGCTTTAACCTTATGACAGGTATTGAGCTTAATTTCCCCTGATGTTTAAGTCACCTTGGCTATTAGCTGTGTGTTTGGTTGGTAGTTAATGAACAGTGCTGGGGGGGAATACATACTGTAGTGTGGTAAGAAGGTTACAGACTAACTCACTGTACACCTGTGTGGTTGTTTCTCTGTGCAGCACAAACTCGGTCTATGATGGCAGGATTTTTTTTTTAACAAAATAAAATATGTCTCCTCAGGCTGTCTTGAATGCTGCCATCCCTGACCACGATGCTGATGCGTTCAGGCCACCCCGGACAGAGGAGCCTCTGTACTTGGACTCTGCAGTGGAGTGGTTGTTCGGTGGCCTCTCCCACTGGGATGCCGAGCATTTCCTCTTTATCGCTGAGAGAGGATACCTGTACGAGCACAATTTTGCTTTCTTCCCCCTCTTCCCTGTGGTCCTCCGAGGCCTGGCAGAGACGCTGCTGTGGCCCCTGAGCAGCTGGCTGAGCGTGAGGGGGCGTTTGCTGGTAGCTGTGGCTCTGGGGAACAGTGCCCTCTTCCTGCTGAGTGTGGTCGCTTTGCATGCGCTCAGCAGAATAGTGCTTCAGGACAGACGTCTCGCTCTGCTCTCCAGCCTGCTCTACTGCATCACACCTGCCAATGTTTTCATGACCGCTGGATACTCCGAGAGCCTGTTTGCTGCGCTCACATTTGGTGGTCTGTTCCTCCTGGAGAAAGGATTCACGCTCCGGGCCTGCCTGGCCCTCAGTATAGCCACTGCAGCACGATCCAATGGACTTGTTAACATTGGGTTCCTGCTGTATCTTCCATCACTGCACGCTATCTCTCAAATACGGGTTTATCGAACGACCACAAAAGGCCACTTTAAAGTCTTCCACTATGTTTGGGTCATCATCCGCCTCCTGCTCACTTCCCTCCTGGGAACTGCAATCATTGCCCTTCCCTTCTGTGCTTTCCAGTACTATGGTTACAGGACGTTCTGCACGCCGTCCGTCTCCTTGGAACGGATCCCCCCTGCTCTTTTGTCGCTGGCTGAGCGGAAGGGCTACCGGGTTCCAGATGAAAATGGTCCACCGCCGCTCTGGTGCATGAGACCCCTCCCCTTGCTTTACTCTCATATCCAGGATGTGTATTGGGATGTGGGATTCCTCCGCTACTTTGAGCTGAAGCAGATACCGAACTTTATTCTGGCTCTACCTATGGCTACACTCGGGATAATGGCAGCTTATGCATATTTTCAAGCTAACCCAGAACTGTGTCTGAGACTTGGACTTTGGGAGACAGGTGCAAATAAAGGGCTGGACAAACCCATACCAGGACTGTTCAACCCCAGAGTGTTTGTGTATGTTGTACATTCAACAGTACTTCTGGTGTTTGGGACATTATGCATGCACGTGCAGGTAAGTAAATCAAATAACCACCTTTTTTCTGGAACATTTGACCTGCTGTTAATTTCCACTCATTCCCATTTTTACCCTACTTTTCTAGGTTCTGACCAGATTCATGGCTTCCTCGTCTCCTGTGCCCTTCTGGATAAGTGCTCATCTGCTCCTCCTCAATGAACCACTTCTCCATCGAAGGACAACATCAAACCCGAGCATACAGCTACAGACACATTCCAGAAATGGATGCAAGCACACACCTCAAAATCCCATCATTGCTCTGCTGCCGTACTTTACAACCTGTTCTCCTACCACACAGAGCATCTTGGGATACTTCCTCTCTTACTGGGTGCTGGGCCTCGCACTGCATTGTAACTCTTTGCCATGGACATGACTTAAAACGTTACTCTGAGCTTTAAATGCAATATTTCTATGTAGGACGGGGCTATATACCGTATTTTAAATGATATGAATCCGCACATAGGTGTTTTTACAGTTCATCAATAGTCAATTTTCATTATTCCAGTAATTGTTAAATTGTAAACTTGAATGCAACATTTTGTCCACGTCACATTTATTAAAAAAAAAAGATAATATGATTATGTCGCCCAGTCTTACATAGAAATTATTGACATGATTACATTTTTGATGCCAATTTATTCATGCAATAGTCAGCAAATTTGATTTGTACATCTCCTTTAAATGTGTTTGCAGCCATTTTAGAACAACCTCATATGTAGAATATACCTGAAACTTTATTCAACACTGTTTAGTTGTAAATCTTGGGAAAGACTATGGTGGTACTTGAAAAACTATATTTTTATTTCTTGCCGAAGCATTACATTTTATTTACTCTGTTTAATATTGCGCTGCATGTTTGGAAGACTTCAAGTCATAGTTTGAATGAAAAAAATAAAGATTTTGTTGCTGTAAAAGGACCCTCAATTTAGTTTTCTTGAGGCATTAATGTAAAACAGCTCTGCTGGGTTTTCTTGTAAACAAGTTCAAATTCTAATATATGTACATCAAATGTGTGCTAATTTGTTCTCACACAAAATATTTTCTCTCTCTTTATACAGTGTAAGAACAGTGTTGTTGTGTTTTTTCATGGTTTACTTACAAAACAGATCCTTTACAGCACTGTAATTGGCACAGACGTGGAGTGTAGATCTCTATCCCTGACTATCAGATATCTCTTTGGGATATGACCACTAGAGGTTGCTGTTACTCAAACAATTTAGTGCACCACCTAACGCTTCAGATTTTTTCTTTAGGGATGTTTTATGGGAAAAAAAAAAAACATCCTAAAAACTAGGGATGCACAGTATGATTTTTTTTTTTTTCCCAGCTAACAATAATTACCTGCTTCTAATGACCAATAATGATAAGATAACGGATAATATAAAATTTTTGCATTTTAAAAACAAGTTCATAACCTGTAGTTTTTTACATCCTATAGTAAGAAAGGCTAAGATGTAGTGAGCAAAGATGGATGATTTAATATTCAATCGCTCTGACCTAACAAAATCTGACTGATACCACTATTGTAAACAGAAACAACAACAGTTCTGACTCTTCAAATGTTCATTTATTTTTTCTAATAAATAACAAAAAACTTACCAAACCTACTTTCTTAGAACATTAAGCCTATTAAAATAATACAAAATATATTATCATTATCCTTTGAGAATTTATCAGAAAAATGAACTGAAATAGTCTCCACTCAAAGTGTTTCTCTGGTGGACAATAAAATTAGTTTTGGCTTGTATAGAATAAATATTTTGAATCTGAACAACTGTAGGCCAGAGCCTAAATAATGTGTTGACATGTTTTCACATCGCTTAAACAGAGTCTAGGAAATGATTTTGCTATAAGGAGAACAGCTCTACCCCTTCCCCTCTCATTAGTTGCACAAACTCACCACATTCCTAGAATAACAGGGTTGGAAACACTCAATAAACATCACAGCTGACATGCACGCAGAACACTGGCCTTGTAATCAAACACCTCAAACAGTGAGCCTATCACATGTTAAGCATCACAGGTTCAGAAAGCACTCATGGTGACATTGTGTGCATTGTGGCCCCTTAAGTAAATTCAGGGTCACTTAATGGAATCAGTCCATGCAGAGACACGTGTCAAAAGTTCATACTGTGGATTTCATTAAACACTTCATTTAGTTCCAATTGATGTGATTAGGGATTTATTACCAGTTTACTTTTCAAAGTAAACACTGAACATGTTGCCAGCTTATTAGATAACAGCAGTTATCAGAGGTCTCTATCTGTTTGCCACTTTGCTCATATACAGTGTACTGGCCTGACTCACTATCTGGAGTCCAGACACTTTATAGGTATATGTCATTGAATCTTTAACTTCATCTCTTCCAATCAGACCCTATAAACAGCCTACAAATAACCAACCATGTGTAGTAACCCCCCCCCATTACCTACAACTGAAGCAACAGAACAGCATCAAGGTTATATTGGTTTAGATAGATAGATAGATAGATTAGATCTAGATATACTTTATTGATCCCAAGCTGGGAAATTGCAGTGTAGCAGCAGCATTACACACCAGTAACAACAGTAACAACACAATAAGTAAGGAGAACAACCTAGACATCTATATATATATATAAAAAAAGCTATATAAAAATGTATAAAATGTATAAATAAGCAATTCATTATTATGTCAATGTTTTGTGAACAGATACTCACTGAGCATGCGCTGGTGTTTGCCACTGATCTACAAACCATCTCCTTACAAAGCTGATGCGTTTGTGTCGTTATACGTCAGCAGTGAGTCTGCGCCGTACTCATCCGCATACGTCAGCATCCTCTCCGTGACGTACATTGGCTGACGGCAAAAAAAAAAATAAGGAAACGTGAAGTGCCGCAAGAAGCTTGAGCCGAAGTCCGTCTGCTTGTGTTAAATTCTTGAGAAAAAAAAAAAAAAAAGGCGAGTTAACAACCAAATGAGTACTGGTATTAATTAATGGCTTTAATTTAACCACCAAAGATGGTAGTCAACCTTGAGTCCACTCGGGAACTGATTCAGCTCGTAAAGCTCAGCTGCGGACAAGAATGCCTTTGCTGGGTCGCTAGCTAGCTAGCGGTAGCTTTCAGGATGGACAACTGAACGCTGACCGGAACCAGAATAAAGAAATATCACTGTACACAATGACTGAATTGTGAGAGTGCTGTCTCTCGAAAACGCGGCGAGAAAAGAGAGTTTCGTGTGTGCCTTTTAGCTACCTCCGAACCGTGTCGATACTGTTTACATGATGAAGAACTGCGAGTACCAGCAGATCGACCCCCGGGCGCTGTCGGTGTCGCCGTCGTCCGCACAGAACCACACCGAGAGGAGAGTGCAGCGGCCGCGGAGGAAATGGGAAGTGTTCCCGGGGAAGAACCGGTTCTACTGCGACGGGCGGATCATCCTGGCCAGACAGAGCGGTGTCCTTCCTCTGACACTGGGCCTTATTGTTGTCACATGTGGCCTTTTCTTTGCATTCGAGTGAGTACCAATGTTTCTTTCCAGTGAGCCCTGAATGCAACACGCTTGTGGAAGTTGTAAATGCCTTTTGCTTCATTGTTATGTATTTTAAACGCTGTTTTGTGGCAATATACAGACAGAAACAAACTGGTGTTTTTCTTTTACAGTTGCCCATTCCTGGTGAAACATCTGACCGTGTTCATACCTGTGATCGGTGGGGTGCTTTTTGTGTTTGTGGTCCTCTCCCTGTTGAGAACCAGCTTTACAGATCCAGGCATTTTACCTAGGGCCACCCCAGATGAAGCTGCAGACGTAGAGAAGCAGATAGGTAAGGCGACCCTGGAATTGCATGGGGACAGATGGGGTAAAAGAGCTTTGCCATACTGAGGATCTTTGAGGGACGTGTTTGTCTTTGAACTGCAGACCTAAGCAGCTTATCATGGTTAAAGAGAAAAAGAAAGCCAGACATAGCTTTATTTGGGTTATGTATTCCTTATTATATCATTGGACTGCTTCTTGTGTGAACTGTTTTGATCAGATGCGCAAGTCTCAGTCAGTCTCTCCACTTGTACTTCTCTATTTTAAGATACCTCAGGATCATCTACGTATCGCCCCCCTCCGCGAACCAAGGAGATCCTCATCAACCAGCAGGTGGTAAAGCTCAAATACTGCTTCACTTGTAAAACGTTCCGCCCTCCTCGGACCTCCCATTGCAGTCTGTGTGACAACTGTGTTGGTAAGGATTTGGTAGGAAGTTTCTGCTTATTTCAACTGATCTAATTGAACTTAACAACTTATTGTCATGGCCAAGAGCAACGTACTATACTGCTTCCTAGATTATCCCACTGGTCTGTTTATTCAATATATGATGCTTCCATGTAATAATAATATAATTCATAACTCTTACCTTAGACTAAGACTTCAAATGAGTTCTGGCAGTTTTCAGGAGCAGGATCTTGGCACTAAAGCGGGTCTTCTTTAAAGCATTAGGTCATTATTTGGCAAGATGGAGCAAAACCGTTCTTTGCAGGTTGAGACTGCCGACTGCGTCTCTTTTGCCAGCCGGAAAGGTCTGTCCTGTTAAAGGAGAGGGTTATTTCTTTTTAAGTGTGCTTTTTAAACTCTTAACACTCTATATTCTCTATATTCCTTGCTAACCTGCCTCCAGTGGAAAAGATAAGGGGCAACAAAACCTGCAGTGCAAAAATGTACCAAAGTTGAACTGAAGCCACTACGACGCTTCAGCTATCTGAGTTAATCAAATCTAACAAAGTTACAATATTTTTAGTACAAAGGCCCTTCTTTGTCTGTCCCCTGACGGTGTTTATTTCTGGGCCGTTGTTGAGGGAAAGTAATACAAAGAGGGAATTTCATACTAAAAAGTCTGTAACTTTGGACTTGATTAATCTTAGTCAGACTCCTGAAGCCCCAAATTACGTTTAGCTAAACTTTGGAATTTGTTTTTGCACAGAACAAGGAGTGTGGATTTTGTCCCTCCAATTACTTGCACTGGTATTGCATTAGGATGGGATCTCTTTATGGGCCAGTATGAACAGGATGAATGATTACAGCAAACAAACGAAGCATAATTACAATTAGATGAAAGTGCTGTATTAATTTTGGGGTAGGAGTGATAGTTATATATAACTATAATACTATAATACTACTAAAACTATATAATTATTTTGATATACAACATGTCATCTATACTTTACAACTACTATAAACGTGCCTCTAATCTCGGGTATGTGTACTTTTCTTTCACCCTCAGAGCGATTTGATCACCACTGCCCATGGGTGGGGAATTGTGTGGGCAAACGCAATTACCGCTTTTTCTACAGCTTCATCATCTCTCTGTCTTTTCTGACATCTTTCATATTCGGCTGTGTCATCACACACATTACCCTGCGTAAGTACTCTAACTCTGTATAAAGACACAAACACATAAGGCAGTTGTAACTTTTAAGGTTTCTGTGTTTCTAATTTGTACTTTATCTCTCCAGGTTCTCAAGCAGGTCAAAGCCTTGTTCAAGCCATTCAGGAGAGTCCTGCCAGATATCCTTTGTACAAACCAAATTGTCACATAATCATCCTTTTTATGAGATGGATGAGATCTTTTAAAATGTGCTCCTGTTTGGTGCCAAGAAATGACACAAGTTACATTGTTGACAAGGCATTTCCCACTGCTCCTTAGCCTAAGCCCAACGTTAATAGGATCAGAGAGTTAGCATCCAGCAAAGCAGTGCTTTTAGGCAGATGGCTTCCAGTGGAAGGTTTGCTGCCTCATGTCCTTGTGAGATGATGTCAGTGAGGGAACAAATATAGACTGCATGACTACAGAGTAGTTCCACTTATTATTCAGAGTGTGGGGTAATTTCCTCAATTTTACGCATGACATGCTTGACATGCATACTATTGTGTCATCTTGTTGGAGTGCGTGTGTCTGAATCTAGAAGGAATATGTTAACTCACTAGT